ATATTTAACTGTTAGTTGCTCTAGGTTTTCCAACTTCTTCTCCGTTCTCTCAAATGTATTTGATAATATCTGAATTTCTAACAATATCTTTTGCAGGCTTAGAGTTTCTTTCTGCTGTTGAAATTGTACCATTATCTCCAGCTGACAAACACTGCTGCTCTGACTTGGAAGGTTTTTACAAGATTAAGCATAAATTCACAATAAGGTTTTATTTTCACTTTTGTTTTGTTAAAGATATACTTCAAAGGAACATCTGTATGCTTTTCTTCTTATCATTCTCTATAGACAAAACAGTGAAACCTTGAAGTGCCAAGCCAGAATAATCAGTGAGGAAAGTTAAAGTGTTTTGTTTCCAATACACAAACTTTCAGCCTTCGATTAGCAGTGTCTTCTTTCCCTCTGTTGTTACAATTTTCTTTGTTGCTTTTTGTATCTTTTTTATTCCAATTTTTAAAAAAATCAAATTCTTGAATGAAATAGAGAAGAAAAAAAGGAAAAACACACGTAGTAATGAAGAAGGAGAATTTTAGTCTACAGGTTGCAAAAAATGATAATGAAAAAAGAAGAAGAAAACTTAATCCCTTCGGTTTAAAAGGCTTGCATAAATTTCATCCATGAAAATAACATGTAAAAAGTAAGATAACCCACTGTCCAAAACCATTCAAAGCTTAATTCTGCCGCTTATTTCTTCTGTTCTCAAACTTAAATTGACTTTAAGTTTTTTATAGGCAGTCTCTTTTAAAATGGTAAAAATTCCTCACTATCTGGAAACACTTTCTCTTTCCGTATCCTTCTGTTTTGGAGCCGCCTCGAATTCATCAGCCTGATGGTTGGATTTTTTGCCGCCGGCTTGAAAAACTTCTCTTGGATTGATCAGGGACTTTGCGATGTCCCTGAGATCAGCAAGATATATTCTTCCTGTTCACTGTCTCTGTGGGACGGTTTAGGTCTGATTGGACCACTCAGCGGCAAAAGTATCGGCTGCGATCTCAGAGCATCGAGATCGCATGTCCGTATCGTTGCGATGTTGGCTCCTCCTTGATTTATCATCTGAGAAGACAGATGGGAAAGAGCAGGTCTGAATGTTTCTCAGATTAAGGATTCCCTCATGTAGAAACTAGATCAGGAAGAATCCCTTAAATATTGATTTTCTGAATTGGGGGAGGTTGGATGTAGAAGTAATTTAAACAATACAGTTAAAAGATGAACAGCGGTAGATGCAAGCATTTCGTATTGACTCATCAGTACCTACATTACAATAACCAGGTTAAAATCAGCCTAAAATATAAGATTTAGCAAGAACATTAATTAAGCCTATAGCGTGTGCAGGAAAGCAACCAATGAGAAGTAATTTAACTGACTCTGAACTGATTGACAGCCCAGCATAAAATTGCCCTTATTTTAGAGTAGCTGTTAAGTTATCTGAAACTTGTGTTGATGTCAATTAAAAGTCTGAACGCTAATCAGATGTTGATTCTTACTGATTGGATGGGGAGAGCATCTGGGTTTACTCAGTTTTTGGCCAACCATTTTTCAGCCTCAAAATCAAGCTAGATGTGATTTGATTTGCTTTCTTTTGTGAGAAGAGATGGTAGATCCTGGTTTTTTTTTTCTTTAACAAGTAGCCATAGCTGGCATGTTTGGGACCAGCTGAATCAAAAAACACGACTTGTGAGTGGTGGTGGGGGAAGGACTTTAAGTTTAGGGCCCTTGGTGCTCTCTGAGCTTGGTTATTTTCTTGCAGACATTTCATTACCCAAATAGGTAACATCATTGATAAATGTAATGTAAGAAAACAGCCAAGTTCCAAGAACACTAAGGACCCCACAGTTCAACCCTGGAACTTTAACGTCCTGCCCTAACTGGTATTCCTAACTGAGATTAATTCCTTCTGTCCAATTTATTTGCTATGAGAAGAAAACTCATAATACGAACTTTATGTTATAGAAACATTAAATCAAACTCTTAAGCCCCAAACCCTGGCTCTCTCTTTTCTTCTTTACCTATCAAATTGGGGGTGGAGGGATAACATTCTCTGTCTGCCTTGCTTCAAGAACTGTAAACTGAGAAAAAATAAGGCTTGGTCAACCATTATTATTTTATCACTTACCACCAACTTTTCTTCTTTTGCTGCTTTTTCTTCCTCAGTTTTCTGAGCAGAGATTTGGAATCAACATCCCACACAAGTTCAGAATCCACAATTACAAAGTGCCGACCTTCTGCGATCACTGTGGATCTCTCCTCTGGGGAATCTTGCGACAAGGGCTTCAGTGTAAAAGTAAGCGGAAAGTCTATACAATGACAAGAGTCCTTCTCTGCGGAATTCGTTTAGTTTTCCTATTCTGAATTGTGTGTGTGTTCGTGTGTGAGGCATACTTGATGCAACACTAGAATAGGCTGCACTCCCCCCACCCCATTTGCACAAATTTTACATGTACCAGTTTTTACCTATATTGCCTAGTTAGGAATCCCTAAGATTTGGCTATAAATGTAGTACATTTCATAATTAGGAGGTTAAGGAGGGGAATGAAAATAGGCCTGAATTATCAGGCATTGCACTGATGATAGATCATATCCACCTGCTTAATATTCTAGAGCAGGATTAGGCAACAGAGCTATTTTTCTTTCTTTTTTAAAGTGGAAGTGGCCAGGGGTTCTATTTAGCAGAGCAGTCAGAAAGTGGCAATATTGAAGGCAGGACAAGAAGCAATGCTTGGAAACTAATTAAGGAGAAAACCAACCTAGAACTAAGGATGAATTTCCTGGCAGTTAGAACAATTGATCAATGGAACAACTTGCCTCTAGAAGTTGTGGGTACTCCAACTGGAGATTTTTAAGAAGAGATTGGGCAACCGTTGTCTGAAATGGTATAAGGTATGAGCAGGAGGTTGGACTAGAAGATCTCCAAGGTCCCTTCCAACCCTGTTATTCTGAAATTGGGAGTGCTGGAATAGGAGGATATCTAGGTAGAGCTAGGTTCCCCCCCCCCATTTGTGTATAAATGAACACTTGTACACTGTTTGCATTTTATTTTTTCTCATCAATGTGCTGCCTAATTTCACTACTAAATTCCTGGGGCCCCAGGGACTGCTGAAATATCTATGTTTTGTAACAATGATGGCCAACCTTTGCTGGACCAAGTGCCCAAAGTGCATGTGCACATGCATGTCAGATACCCCCAAAATGCAATGCATGCCCCTCTGCACATCCCCTTGTGCGTGCATGCAGGGGCCCCCTGTATGCGCCCTACTCCCCACATGTGCACACACCCCACGTCACACACCTCCCCCTGCACATGCATGGCAGAGACACAAAGACCATCTGGCCGATGGGAAGTGCGCACACGCATGCACGGCAAAGTTGAACTGGGGCGACGGCTCACGTGCCATCAGAGGGGCATAGGTTCGCCATCACGGTTCTATAAGAAGGAAGGATAGAAATGGGAAGGAAAGGAATTTCCTTTTTTTCCATATTGTGTTCAATCAAGGTACATATTGATTTGCATGTTAAGTATGAACTGAGGGTTTGTAAGTAGGTACAAAAAACTATTGTAAATAAGTATGATGACTGACAACCCCCATAGACATGAAGTATGAACTGTTCGGATATGGAACGAGCCCAGGGGAAGTGATGGGGTCTGTGGGGTCACTCGGGCCCTTGTGACCTCTAGGCTGGAATACTGCAANGTTCAAATCTCACTGGCTTAAGGTTGACTCAGCCTTCTATCCTTCGAGGTGGGTAAAATGAGGACCCAGATTGTTAGGGGCAAGATGCTGACTCTGTAAACCGCTTAGAGAGGGCTGTAAAAGCACTATGAAGCACTATATAAGTCTAAATGCTAAGTGGTAAGGATTTGTTAACAGGGAGAATGAAGTGATAACTAAAGAAAACAGGATATTGCAAAGTAATGGAAGAAGCTAAAACTAAATTGCTTTGGGATAAACGTGGGTGGCAAAGCCATGGCATTTGAATGACAGGTAGCAATGTATTCACTTGTTTAACTGTTCTCTTTGGGTGCCCAGGAACACTCCAGAGGGACAGAATCTTTAAAAACTTCACACGGAAACGCCAACGGGCCATGCGCAGGAGAGTTCACCAAGTCAACGGACACAAGTTTATGGCAACTTACTTGCGGCAACCAACGTACTGCTCACACTGCCGGGAATTTATCTGGTATGCTTGAAATGAAAACAAGCTTTCACCCAGGAAGTTGCTTCCATAATTCCTGCCCCCCTTTTGCTAAGTATAAAGTTCCTTTTGGGTTGAACTCAACTCCTTGTGACTTTATAAGTACGATCCATGTAGTTTCCTGGCCACAGTTCAGAAGTGATTTACAATTGCCTCCTTCCAGGATGTATATTTATACCTCAGCTTTGTTTTACAGCCCTGGCATTCTCTGGACTTCTTCCCTCCAGGTACTAGCCAGGTCCTGACCCTGCTTAATTTCTGAGCCAGATATTGAAAGCCAGCTGCTGCCAGCTGTTGAATTCAGTATGAGCAAACGAATGCCTAAATAAGTCAAGAGCAGGTTACAAGAAACAATTATTCTTCAGATCGAAAAGAGAGTTTACAACAGGAGCAATCAATGACTTAAGATCTGATACTTTCCCAGAAAGCAGCTTTAATCAAAGCTTATGCAAACTATCCCATCTGCAGGAGAAGAGTTGGAGGTACTTTCCGGTACTAGTGGAGATAGTGGAATCAATGTGGATACTGTAAAAAAAAGTGATCTGAAGTTTAGGGTTCAGCACCAGAAAGTTGTAGCTTTCATTTTAAAATGTGCAAATTACTATAACTGAGATGGCTGATGCAGTGGAACAGCTTGCCTTCAGGCGTTGGGGTTCTCCATCACTGGAGGCTTTAAGAAGTGCCTGGACAGCCATTCATCTGAAATGCTATAAGGTCTTAGACCAGACCTCCACGATCCCTTTCAACTCTGTTCATTCTGTTAAGTTCTCATCATCTGGTTTTATTATAACCATTGACTATTAATTATATATTATCCAATACATACAAAATAATCTTGGCTGGAACAAACAACTCAAGCGACTAATTTCACAGACCATCCACTGAATGGAATTAGGAGTCAGGCATTTAACTTCCTCCCCTTTTCCCCCATGCCAATCTCAGCCTAGAGATTGCCACCCTTGCCTCTCTGTTTACATGGGTGAAAAAGCTTCCATTGGCTCTCATGGAAGCTCTTTTATGTGTTCAGTTGGCTAGACCTGATTAGCAAAAGAGAAGAGAAACAGGTCAAATTTTAAAGCCTTCTTACCATCCATGTTGGGACACAGTAACAAGTGCTGAGCTTGTCAATCAGAAAGGTCGGCAGTTCAACGGTTCAAATCCTTAGCACCACGTAATGGAGTGAGCTCCCATTACTTGTCCCAGCTTCTGCCAATCTAGCAGAAGGCATGTAAAAATGCAAGTAGAAAATTAGGAACCACCTTTGGTGGGAAGGTAAAAGCGTTCTGTGTGCCATCGGCATTTCATCATGATCATGGAGACGTCTTCGGACAGCGCTGGCTCTTTGGCTTTGAAACGGAGATGAGCGCCATCCCCTAGAGTCGGGAATGACTAGCACATATGTGCGAGGGGAATCTTTACCTTTATGTTAGCATCCATGTTATGCTCCTAAGATGCCTCCAGTGTATATGCCAACACAATTGCATAGATCTTTCCATCAAATGTTAATAATGCAGACTGCTTATTAGATGATACTTGCAATGTTCCACTCCGATCAGTTTTGTAAAATGCCCTCACTTTTTAAATACAATGCATGTTTTCATAAATATGTTTCTTGTTCATTAACTGGAAAAAGAAATTTGAATTGCAAAACTGTTTGTTGGAATGGGCTGAAACATTTGAGTGCCAATTCAGTGTAGGGACATTTATTACAACTTACACAAGTCTGTTCATAGAGTTTGATCCATAAATTAAAACGATAACTTGGCTATAAGCCAAAGCTCATCTATTTCTATGTAAGCTACATCAAACCTAATAGGATTTCTATCCCAATTCTTGTGGAAAGGATGGGATTGATAGGCTGTGACTGATGCAAATGTTCCTGAGATGAATCTCGCCGAGATTTGTGGTGCTTACTTCCTATTAAGAGATTGCCCTGAATTTTGTATTTATGTCTAAATTTCTCTCTTAGAGTTTTGATTTTAAATTTTAGTTGGAATTCTTTCTGAGTTTTATCAATATTGGAAGTAAGATTCATCATCTAAACTTGGATTTTATGTATTTTTAAATGTATTTATAAAATGTTTATAGTATCTTAATCAATTGACTCTGGTCATTTAACAATGAAAGCAAAATTAGCAACCCATAAATGAAAACTCACCACCTCTACATGGCCTTACTTAACTAAAGAAAATGGTTGTGTTGTGTCCACCAGTTCAAATGCTCTTTAGAGATTTTTGGAATGCCAAGAACGAAGGAGCATGTTCTACCTTAATGGGGGCAGCCTTGCAGAGATTCCTTCTAGTTTGCACCCCTCTCAACTCTGATAATGAAGGGCCTCCCTCATAGTTCAAAACAGGAAGGCAGAATCGTTTTGGCCAAGGCGGTTCTTGATGAAACCCAGTGTTGTGCCATATTGGACTTCACAAGTGATACCCAACACTTTAAACCGGGTGCAGCATTGCAAAATAAGTACTATCCTGAAATAGCAGATTCCACCCACCTGCAATTTGGCTACTGCGTTCTATGTGAGCTGTAGCTTCTGAGTTATTTTCAAAGGCAGCCTCACCTACTACTATTGCAGTAGTCAAGGCATGCATTATCCTCACCAAGGTTTGCAGCTCCAGGTGGAGGCATACTTGGCATATCAGTTAAAGCTGGTCAAAGTATTCCTGAGTCACCACTTCCACCAGCTCTCCCAATACTAACTATGAATCCTGGGCAAGCCCCAGTGACACACCTGCCATGTGAAAGGGAGGATGATTCCACCACTGGTACTAAAGTTTCCAGAGTGCCTAAATGTTTCTGGATGAACAATAACTTTGTCTTCTTAGAGTTTAAGCTGAGTTTACCCCTGCCCATGTTGTTGATACGATATACATTTTGAATTTTGCAGCTGCCTCTCAACTTTTGTTTTGTTCTTATGTCAGATTACCTGACCTACTTTTTAAGTGTTTGATCTCATCCTGAGTCATATGTTGTCTCTGCTTTATCTTCAACAGGGGAGTATTTGGAAAGCAGGGATACCAGTGCCAAGGTACAGTAAGTTATTGTTAGGGTTACATAATGCCTTACTCATTTCTCATTTTCGCCTTTTTACACTATTTTTTTACACTATTGCAGTGAATTGGATTGGATTGGATTTATTACATTTATATGCCGCCCTTTTCCCCGAAGGGGACTCAGGGCGGCTCACAATTCAATCAGGGAAGGGGGTACNGGAGGGCAAAAAATGGCTTTAAAAAAGGCTGAATGCAACTGGCTAGCTGACAGGGCAACAACTTGCGTGCCCTGACAAATGGCTCCGTGTGCCACCTGTGGTACGCGTGCCATAGGTTCGCCATTCCGGCAATAGCTGATAACCCAGCATTGCCCAGGTATTTATTTATAAGAAGGATCAAACGTAATTTCTAATGTTGGATTTTCCACTTACCAGAGGGAGCCCCCTTGTGGAGTACTGTGAAGCCGTTAGCATGGCTACTCTACAGTAGAGTAGAAGCCATTTACAGTAGAAGCCATTTACAGCACTACAGTAGAAGCTGTTTTAAGGCACAACAGGCTGTATCTTAACAGAACTTACACCCCGAGGGGTGTTAAGGGTGTCTTACTCCCACAGTATTTTTTTTCCAAAGAGTAAGTCATCTGTGTAAATTTGGTTGAAATTGCTCGAGGTGTTCCAGAGTTATGCTAGAAAACACACACACACACACACACACACACACACACACATTCTGTAATTCAAGTCAATTCAGTTTATTGCACACTTGTTTTAATCAACAAACATACAATACTTTCCCCATTCATATCTGTTTTTCCCCCTTAGAGAATATTTCTACTCTCTAAAGCCAAGCTGGGTGAATTAGATATCTTTAGAGTACAATTCCCATTAGGTCAAGCTAATTTATTTATGAGGTTTGATGTCCAAAATTTCAGGCAGGTGCATCTTGCTTCCTTCTATTCATTTCATGTTCAAAGTGTTACGCCTCTTGATGGGTTTTTTTTTCCAAAATTGAGTTTCTGAACTTCATAGGTGCTGAGAAAATTTGGGGTGCTGCCTTGCAAAAAGCAACTCATGACAATTGAATCTTTACAGAAGTTAGTTTCCAGATCAACGTTGAGACGCCAGAAAAAAGACAGCACAAAGGATGGCAATGGGATGGTTGAAGTCTCAGCCAGTAGGCTTAAAATTGAAGATCTGATATTCATCAGGGTGCTGGGAAAGGGCAGTTTTGGAAAGGTAAGTGTTTCTGGGGAGATTTGAAGTTTCCATAGTGGTGCAACTTTTCATTATTTTGAAATGAGTTTGCATTAATGGAAGGTTTAGTTGAACCAGGCTGCATTCACATAATACGTTAATCTATAAATGTAGTTTGATTTTTGTCTTAAAAAGTAAAGGTAAAGGTTCCCCTCGCACATATGTGCTAGTTGTTCCCAACTCTAGGGGGTGGTGCTCATCTCCGTTTCAAAGCCAAAGAGCCAGCGCTGTGTGAAGACATCTTCATGGTCATGTGGCCAAATGACTCAACCACCCCAAAGGCACACAGAATGTTTTCTATTTTTCTACTTGCATTTTTACATGCTTTCGAACTGCTAGGTTGGCAGAAGTTGGGACAAGTAACGGGAGCTCACTCCATTATGCAGCGCTAGGGATTCAAACTGCCGAACTGCCAACCTTTCTGATCGACAAGCTCAGTGTCTTAGCCATTGAGCCACCGCGTCCTGCGGTCTTAAAAAGTAGTGGCTTCTAAATTATTTCTTATAACACGAGTACAAAATTTTAGTCCTGGCAGGATTTTTGTTTTGAATCATGACACTTGCTCAGCTCCTCCATCTGTATAAGAAATAGCAATAAGGACATACCATTCATTAAGAGAAACTGCATTATGTCCCTTTAAATTGTGAAAATGCTTCCTGTTATTAAAACTCCAGTAAACTTTAAATCAAAATGAAGGGTTATTTTTCTTTTATTCTTTTGTTTTATACTGTTTTCACTGCGGTAAGTTCTCAGTGAAGTCTTAGGCCTCAGCTGCTCTTCATATGCAATTTCCAACGTGATTTAAAGGCTGTTGTGGCCCTCAAACCAAATAAGGTTGCATAAGCCTTATTTCTAGCTTAGCGTTCTTTGTGAATTCAGCCAATGTGTCTTTTTATTCAGAGAGGCCCCGTCTAATGCCATGCAAATAACAGGTAGTCCTTGAATTGCAATGGAGCCTGCTCATAATTCATGACAGCTGTAAATTGGGTCCTGCATGTGACTGACATAACTTTATGACCTTTTTATGGCAGCCATTAAACGAACTAATGATTTGCTATGGATATGGTTTGAATTAAATGCTGGTTTTCAGCAAAACCATTGTAAAGCATGGACATGTGACTGTGGGACTTTGCAAGCAGCCATAAATGTGTCTGGAATGCCATCACATTACTGTGGGGGTCCCCAATTATTAGAACTATTGTAACTTCAAGTGGTTGCTACGCAACCAGTCATAAGTCGAGGACTATTTAATTTCTGTACAAATACACCTAGGTTTGACCTGTTAGCAGGAAAGATCACGTCTTGCTCTTTCTGCGATACTTCCATAGTTATTTGTTTTCTTTTGCTTTGAATTAAATATCCCGGTTTGTGGCACATTTAGGTAATGCTGGCTAAAACAAAAGAGACAGGATATCTGTATGCCATCAAAGTGCTGAAGAAAGATGTCATTCTTCAAGATGACGATGTGGAGTGTACCCTAACAGAGAAGCGGATCCTGACTTTGGCAAGAAATCATCCTTTCCTCACTCAGCTTTTCTGCTGTTTTCAGACCGCTGTGAGTATTCCTTACAGCTTCAGGAGTGAGCAAAGGCTTCTGGTGTTACCAGTTAGGAATCATTGCAGCAATTCTTTTTTTCCTTTCAACCTTCTTCATGGTTTTCTGTAGATGGAAGAACAGAGAAAACAGGAAGCTCACAAATGAAGCACAACGAATTCTCAGTGATGTGAATAAGGCAGAGGAGTTGCACGGGGAGTCCTGCATTCCCTTCTTTCCAAACAGCAAACATCCACATGATCACAAAATAAAAATACTTTTGGGGGGAAAGACTTACATTAGTTTGTGTAAGCAGTGATCCTGCGGTTTTTCTAGCATCAAAATGGAATTGCAAAATTGAAGTGTCCCTAGGCACCATCTAGTTCTTATTTGATGCAAAGAAAAAAATACGTTGAGCTGGTATATCTCTGTAGACGTCTATGGATTTTGAATAAAATCTTTCATTCCAACTTTTTAAAAGTAATTTCTCTTCTGATAAAGGTTTCTTCCCTGAAACCAAAATGTTGTTAGTGCCAGTAGTCCAATCCATCTGAGCTGAGATTGCTTTACTTTAGTGGAAGGGCATAAAACATGTGCAGTGTTTTATGCTTGTATCTGTATTTCCTTCCATTGCTCGTGTAGAGGGAGCATTATACATGCCACCTTGAGTTATATAAAATAGAAAAACGATGGTGATGATTGTAATGTCTCTATATCTACTCTGACATCATCATTACAAAAAATATTATCCATAATTTCAGATGACCTGCTGATCCTCCAATGTAGTACATGCCATCATCTATAAGGAATATGCAGACACTTACTCAGCAGCATACAAGGTCAACTTCTCTGTTGAGACACATTCATTTCCTACTGACAGCATATCCATGCTGTTTTCTGAGACCCAATAAAATAACTGTCTGTTCTGCACAGGATGGTTTTTGACTTCCCAGTCTAATCTATAGGTCTGGGATGTCTTGATCCGAGCACCAACTAAGTCTGACATACTTCGCTTTTTTTATATCAGCTAATGTTGGCTAGGTTTTGTCGTTTTCTATAGAACTCAAAAGAATAGTTGGACATGTATATGACTGACATAAAAAATGATAATATTGAAGTGGGAATCATTTCAGTTTCCTGAGACACAAAGGCCAATGCCCTCAAGATTGCTCTCTTTGAATGAAGGGATTGCAAAGACTAGTTTCATAGTTAAACAACTGGTCTGGAATTTGTTAGGTTGTTTAATTGCCAGAGGTAATTCTTGCTTAAAGGGTACTTGGTCAGTGACCACTTGAAGTAATGGTAGGAGGAGACTTACAACCCGTCCTCAAAGTTGCAGTCAGCGCAGTGTCCTCACGGTCACCTGATCTCAGTTTGACAACCACTTGGCAACCACAATTGCCCAGTTGTGGCAAGGTATGAAGTTGCAGTGTCCCACACGGTCACCATTTGCAACCTTCACTGCTGACTTCTGGCAAGCAGAGTCAAGGGGAAGTTAGCAGAAGGTCACAAATAGGGATCACATGACTGCATGACACTGGGATCATGCAGGATTTGCCTAATGATGGTGAACTGGGACTGCAATCAGTGCAATCACATCAGTGGTAGGATTCAAAATGTATTACTACCGGTTCTATTTTTTTTTTTTTTACTATTTTATTAAGCATTTATAGGCCGCCCTTTTCCCTGAGGGGACTCAGGGCGGCTTACAATAATAGGGGAGGGGAGTGCGGGACAAAACGCAAAAAGAAAATGTGAATAGAAATAATTAGCAATAAAAAACCCAACATTCATTCAACATTCGGGAGGGGCGCGAGTAAAGTCTTATCCCCAGGCCTGACGGGATAGCCAGATCTTGAGGGCTGTGCGGAAGGCCTGGATGGTGGTGAGGGTGCGGATCTCCACGGGGAGATTGTTCCATAGCGTCAGAGCTGCAACTGAGAAGGCTCTCCTCCGCGTAGTCGCCAGTCGGCACTGACTGGCGGATGGAATTCGGAGGAGGCCTACTCTATGCGATCTGATGGGACGGAGGGAGGTAATCGGCAGAAGGCGGTCTCTCAAATAGCCAGATCCACTACCATGGAGCGCTTTATAGATGGTAAGAAGGACCTTGAAGTGCACCCGGAGACCAACAGGTAGCCAGCGCAGCTCACGGAGGATCGGTGTTATGTGGGCGAACCGTGGTGCGCCCACAATCACTCGCGTGGCTGCATTTTGGACTAGCTGAAGTCGCCGGATGCTCTTCAAGGGCAGCCCCATGTAGAGCACATTGCAGTATTCCAGCCTAGAGATCACAAGGGCTCGAGTGACTGTTGTGAGGGCCTCCCGGTTCAGGTAGGGCCGCAACTGGCGCACCAGGCGAACCTGGGCAAATGCCCCCCTGGTCACAGCTGATAAGTGGTGGTCGAAACTCAGCTGTGGGTCCAGGAGGACTCCCAAGTTGCGGACCCTGTCTGAGGGGTATAAATTTTGACCCCCCAGCCTGAGCGATGGAACGTCAGCCAAATTGTTGGGAGGGAAACACAACAGCCACTCGGTCTTGTCCGGGTTGAGTACCAGTTTGTTAGCTCTCATCCAGTCTTCTGTGGGCGTGGCTTGGTGGGCGTGGCAGGAGAAGGATACTGTAAAATCCCCATTCCTTCCTGATCAGCAGGGACTTGGGAGGCAGAGAATTGATGGGGGTGGGGCCAGTCAGAGGTGGTATTTACCAGTTCTCTGAACTACTCAAAATTTCCACTACCGGTTCTCCACTGGTGACTACCTGGTCAGAGCCTGGTGAATACCACCTCTGAATCACATAATGCCCTGCTTTATGACTGTGTCACTTAGGAATGGAATTCCCAGTCCTAATTACCATTGGCAAGTGACAATTACCTGTATCTCCTGGATTAAGCACAGAACAACGCCTCTTATCACATATGTTATTAACCTGTTTATATAAGCTTTCCGGTGTGGCATCTAGCGGCTATGTAGTTAATGGTTGCCACTTTATAGATAATTTTTTCTGCCCCCTCATCTTTTACTGTTCTTTCCTTTTGCTTTGCTCTTCCCAATAAGCAATGGATATAGGATATTCCTTCCTTGAGATTGAACTCCATGAAGCTGATCCACGAAAGATTTGCAATGCAAACTTTTTTGGGGTTTGTCTTTAAACTGCCATTCAAATCTTTGTGGCTTAAGTGAATGTGGCCACTAGGTGGCAGAAACTGCAAGCGAAAAAGCACATCTTGCCATCACATTGTCTTTTTAATGGAGGAAGAGATTTACAGCGGTTGCAAAGAGTCAGTAGCAGCTCTTTAATTCAGTTTCACTACTTTTCATGTTCCTGTCAAAGAGAGGGATTACTGACTGAGCCCCACACCTTAATTTGACTTCACAAAGCTTTCAGTTTCCTGCAGAAAAGGGAGGAAATCTTTTATAGCCCTGCTTTTCCATCATAACATATTATTCCTAGCACCATGAAGTCTTGCCACCGCCCAAGTTTAGGAGATTGGCACAATGTGTTCCAATGATGATACTTCCTCCAAACTTGTTTTTAAACTCCTCTGCCCTTGGCTGCATTATATCATTAGTTCTACAAAACTGGCAGCATAAGCTGTTTGTCTAATCTTGCCTTTGGGTCAATTATTAGGGGGGGGGGGGAGAAACCAAAGGCTCCCAGGATACCCAGCTTAACTGTTTCAACATTGTTATGGTGTTATTTTATTTCATCGTGCTCAAGGCCATAAATATATAGATATCTATATTAATATGGATCAGAAGCAATGGATGGAAACTAATCAAGGATAGAAGCAACTTAGAACTAAGGAGATATTTCCTGACAGTGAGCACAATTAATCGGTGGAATGACTTGCCTCTAGAAGTTGTGGATGCTTCAACACTGGAAGTTTTAAAGAAGAGATTGGACAACTGTTTGCCTGAAATGGTATAGGATCCCTGCCTGAGCACAGGGTTGGACTAGAAGACCTCCAAGGTCCCTTCCAAATGTGTTCTTCTGCTGTTCTGTAATCTGTATCTATATCTACTCTATCTATCTATCTATCTATCTATCTATCTATCTATCTATCTATCTATCTATCTATCTATCTATCTATCTATCTATCAAAGTTGCACTTAGACTTATATATATATAAGTACTGCATTCTAATCACTGCGCCACCGCAGTTATAGGCATACAGATAGCAAATGATAAATAAATTTAACTCCTTAACAGGATTTTGTAAAGTGTCATAGAATCATAGAGTGAGAAGGGAGCTTAGAGGTCATCCAGTCTTCTTTCCCATTCCAGTACAGCTTCTTTTATAGATCACTATGTGGGCTCTGTTTGAAGATCTCTAGTGAAGGAGAAGTCACCATTTCATGTACTAGCTTGTTCCACTAGTTAATAACTCATTTTGTCAAGAGGTTCATCATAATGGCTTTATAGTTTTAACTCATTGCTTCTTGTCCTACTCTGTGGCATAACAGAAAATAAGTATTTGTCATCTACGTAGTCTGTGCTTGATCTCAGTATAAGTATTTCCTTCCCCTGATAGAACTTCCTGAAGAACAAATTGCCTGGAATCTTTGCCACCACTTAGTCATAACTACACATTGATGTGCAAATCTTATAGCTAGACAAACCCATTGACTCTCAACTGAAACAGTTAAAGGAGATCTTGTCCTCTTGCATTTACCAAAAACCAGTATGATCATTTATCCACTCACCCATCCTCAAAAAGTGTATTTATTTTTTAAATAAATTGTTATAATTAAGTTAGAAAGATAAACCAATTCACCTTACAGGTGGGACTACCTCACCACTGGTACGCTTGCTTAGTCTTCTGTCCAAATGCTACCAGTTGATGAGCAGGTTGAGAACCAGCATTTGTCCTACCTTTTTTGCATTTGATAGCCATTCTTGAGAGTGGACTTGGACTGCAAGGCGATCAAACCGGTCAGTCCTAGAGGAGATCAACCCTGATTGCTCTTTAGAAGGCCAGACCCTGAAGATGAAACTCAAATACTTTGGCCACCTAATGAGAAGGAAGGACTCACTGGAGAAGAGCCTCATGCTGGGAAAGATTGAGGGCAAAAGAAGAAGGGGACAACAGAGAATGAGGTGGCTGGATGGAGTCACCGAAGCAGTAGGCCTGAGCTTAAATGGACTCCAGAGGATGGTAGGGGACAGGAAGGCCTGGAGGAATGTTGTCCATGGGGTTGCGATGGGTCCGACACAACTTTGCGACTAACAACAACAACAACAAGCCGTTTTATTTGAACATTCTTTCAAATGGAGGTCAGACCTCCAATGGCCTTTCAAATAAAGAGTTATTTTCAATAAAACAGGACACTTGGCCTCTTTCTGTCAATATAAATTCTGAATGAATGGCAGGCAGTCTGAACTGGGGTTGCAGTGAGAGCAAATCCAGATTACCGATGTCCAATCCAGAACCAAAAAGTCATTCCAGGATTGAATTAGGTTGGTTAAATACTGTGTAGTTTGGTCTATGGGGGTAAAAATCCTAAATATTTTGCTCTTTGTGCTGCTGTTTCAATTCAGAGGGGTTTTTTAAAAAAATTCAGATGTGGGGAGAGAAAAAGGAATACAATTAACATCTTTCCACTGATGATGGTCTCTGCTGTTGCCTTTGATCAGGATCGCCTCTTCTTTGTTATGGAGTTTGTGAATGGAGGCGATTTGATGTTCCACATCCAGAAATCCCGTCGCTTTGATGAAGTCCGAGCCCGGTTCTATGCTGCAGAAATCATTTCAGCTCTCATGTTCCTTCACGAGAGAGGCATCATTTACAGGTCAGCAAAAAGAATTTGTGATTTGTTGCTTTGTTGTTAGGTTCAATCAAGTATTGTTTTTTGTTGGGGAGGATTCTTAAGGGTGATTAATATACCTGCTGGAGTTTATCAATGGGACAGCTTCATTGCACTGAAGGGTGAAAAATTAACAGATTTATTTGAGTTGGGGGCATCATTGTGGAAGATGGGATTTGACTGGGAGCTGCTCAGAGATGGGCAGCTATGTGAGCAGGTCTCAATCAAATCCCATCTTTTTTAGTTGTTCAGACCTGAGTTGGAAGGACATTCAGGAGGTCTGCTTGGAAATCATCAAATGTAGGTGTTTGTTATTTTAGAAATGCTTGTTGTGGTAGCAATTTGAAATCTAGCTTTTGCGGGGAAACAGAGTTGCAGAATTAGTTGGGAGTATCTGTTTTCCTTGCCTGGGGGGACATGGTGACTATGAGTGCACAACATTTGCTGCGTATTTGGAAACAAAATATTATGCTTGAGTGGAAGAATTGTGCAAAGTGTTTCCATTGAAATCTAATCCGTGTCCATAATAAAAAAAAATACTTCTGGAACAGATTGTTCTGTGCATTAATTTATGTGACCCCTCTTTGGATTCTTAGACTGGCTTTCACGCTAGGAGGCCAGGATGATTTTTGTTTTCATTGTGTATTGCAATATCACACTGGGTAACCAAAACAACCTTTGAACAATTGTATGCCATAAAATTGCAGACCTGCTAATTGAAAGTTGTTCTCTCTAAATGTAGTGGGTTTTGATTTCAGTATCTAATTCATCCGAGGACTTTGTCAATCAAATGGTTCTAAGAGCCATGGTAGCACAGTGGTTAGAATTCAGTATTGCAGGCTTATCCTGCTGACTCCCAATTACTGGCAGTTCGGCAGTTCGAATCTCAATGGCTCAAGGGTTCCATCCTTCCGAGGTTGGTAAAATGAGGACCTAGATTGTTGGGGCCAACGTGCTGACTTTGTAAACTGCTTAGAGAGGCCTGTAAAGCTCTGTGAAGTGATATATAAGTCTAAGTACTATTGCTAAAACTATAAGTCAGATGAGCAGATTGAATTGTGTTTGCGTTATATGAGTTGACACAGTGTGTATTTCTTCAGCTCCGTTTTCTTGCATTCTTCCTTCATGTTATTATAGAGCTTGACATTCATTAATTTTGGGCTCAATAGTCATCATGGTTTTTCCAGTTACAATGTAGGGCTGTGAAGGTTGGACCATAAGAAAGATGAGGGCCAAAGAATTGAGGCCTTTGAGCTATGGTGCTGGAGAAGACTCCTGCGAGTCCCTTGGACTGCAAGGCGATCAAATCGGTCAGTCCTAGAAGAGATCAACCCTGAGTGCTCTTTAGAAGGCCAGATCCTGAAGATGAAACTCAAGTACTTTGGCCACCTAATGAGAAGGGAGGACTCACTGGAGAAGAGCCTAATGCTGGGAACTATTCAGGGCAAAAGAAGAAGGGGACAACAAAGAATAAGATGGCTGGATGGAGTCACCGAAGCAGGAGGCGTGAGCTTAAGTGGATTCCAGAAGATGGTAGAGGACAGGAAGGCCTGGAGGAACATTGTCCATAGGATTGCGATGGGTTGGACACGACTAACAACAAAAAGTAATCATAAATTGAGGACTATTGGTAGTTTACACAAATAATCATGGTTTTGATGTAGAAAATATAATGAAGGAGAGTGAAGAACCAGTTACACATTTTCATGCAGTCAAAATTAATTGAAGGAAAAGATACCCAATAAGACACAGTGTGCCAGCTAAGCTCTTTCTTGGAATTGATCAAATCATCTTTGTGTTGTAAAAGACAAATGCAATCTCTCTTCTTGGATCCCATACATAACACTTTTGAGAGAGAGTTGCATGATTTACTGGGAACTGTGACTGAGTTCATGAAAATTTCTGGTAAACTGATTAATATTGCAATTGGGACACCCGTTCTACCGAATATTTTTTCATATAATCTCTTATTTAAAACAAATGTGCAACTCTTCACAAAGCTAATAGCTAATAATGAGGGAAGCGTGGACAGAAAAAAAGCTTCATATTTTAATGAACTGAATCAGTTCATTAGAAATTTGCACTAAATAAAATGAAATGTATGAAATTTCTGGGGAAAAAAGGTTTTTAGATAGAATATTTTGTCTAAAGCAGGGGTGTCCAAACGTGGGAATGTTAAGATTTCCCCAGTTTGGACAGTTCTTCCTCAGAAGAACTTTCCCAGCCATGGCTGGCTGGGGAATTCTGGGAGTTGGTCCACAAGTCTTAAAGTTCCCAAGTTTGGACACCCCTGGCCTAAAGGGAAAATATTTGTGATATTGATACTTATCTAGACAGTGGGCATGCTTAAGGGTCTCCTTAGAAAAGGCAGGTCTTTGTGTGAGCTTAGCCTCATGTCCCACTTACCACAACACAAAGATTTTCAAGGGAGACGTCTCCTATCAATAGTCCTCCAAAAGAAAACAGAAATCCGGTTGAATGGCCAAGGACATCGAATGAAGCGAGACTCTCCCAGCCCTGAATTGCTACCCATTGTGGAAACAACCTGCCAAATCATCTTCATCTGGCATGGAATTAAAAAGAAAAGAAATTAATGGGGTATCTATTATATGATATTCTTTTATGTTGTAGATAAGTCGCCAAAGATAAGATACTTTTAATCTAGTCAAACCATTTGCTCCAAGACCAAACAGAAGATACTCATAATAATAGATGCATTTATGGCAGGGCTGTCAAACTCGTGGCCTGTGGGCTGGATGTGTCATGCGGTGGCGACGCCCAGACCCATGCCCGGTTTAGCAAAGGGGGAAAAAGTCCTGACATGTCATATGATGCCGCCGTGACGACGTGAGTTTGACACCCCTGATTTATGGACATTTGAATCATGCTCACTAATTCTTGGGTTCTGGATGTTCTCTGAGCTTGGATGTTTTCTGGCAGACATTTCATTACCAAGCTAGGTAATAACATCAGTGCATGGGAGAGTGGCATTGCATTACTTATCCTGATAATGAAACCTCTGCCGAAAAACATCAAGAATCCAACCGTTCTATCCTGAGCTGCATATATTCTTTGCTAATGGAATTGGAATCACTGTTATTTCCAGACCGTATGAACTTTGAGACCATCTGGAATTTCAGGAGTGTGTGATAGGATGGACATTTTCACAAAATGTTAGGCTGCTAACCCCTTGCTCTCTCTCACTCCCTCTTTTCTCCCAGGAATCTCTTGACTGCCTCAGCTTTAATAATCCCTTTCCTAGGCAGGTTGACACAATTCCCCCCAAAAGCAGATAGCTGCAGCTAACTAGAAGTAAATAACAAGAATAGTTGAGCTAGCTCATTGATTTGTAGCATGTTAGCTTTTCATTATGTTCTTATATGAAAACCATCGACAGATTTAAGAGGTGGAGAATGGAATTTGTCAAGAGATAAGAGATTTTTAAGGGCTCAGTGGCTAAGACGCTGAGCTTGTTGATCAGAAATGTCAGCAGTTCGGCGGTTCGAATCCCTAGCACTGCCTAACGGAGTGAGTTCCCATTACTTGTTCCAGCTTCTGCCAACTAGCAGTTTGAAAGCACGTAAAAATGCAAGTAGAAAAATAGGGACCACTTTGGTGGGAAGCTAACAGCGTTCCGTGCACCTTTTGTGTTTAGTCATGCCCGCCACATGACCACGGAGACTTCTTCGGACAGCACTGACTCGTAGGCTTTGAAACAGAAATGAGCACCACCCCCTAGAGTTGGGAACAACTAGCACATACTCTATGTGCAAGGGGAACCTTTACCTTTTCCTTAAGGGACTTTTGCTAGGCATATTGGAAACTCAAAATGCATGCATGGGGGGAATGGTTTAGCTGCTATGATGGTAGACAGTGCAGGCTAAAGGGCCGTGGAAATTGCCTTTGAAATCAGTCTGAATGCTGGTCTTTACTAAACATAGCTGTGACATTCAGGGAATGCTGATCTTTCTCTTCAACTGTGCATGTGAGCGGTGTAATGTTAGAGATCACGTAAGAGAGTTTGGTGCGGGCATTCGTTTTGTATAAAAGGCTATTGTATTACCAGCAGCTCCCTTTTACAGTTGTCTTGATGCTGTTGGCTGTTAATGTTTCTTGATGATATCAAACACAGGCTTGAACATGTCTAGATCAGAGGCTTAGGTAAAAGAGGCACGTAACATCATGGTTTGGGTGGCATGCAGAAAGCATGAACCGTCGTTTGGTAGTGCAGCAAAAACTTTGGATCTATGACGTCCTTACCTCTTGATAAATTAGAGATCTGCAGCAAAGAAGTTTATTAAGCACTATAACCCAGCTTTAATCTGTCATGTTTTACTGCTCTGAAAATAAAGCCACTCTCAATATTTCCCCCTCCCTTTCTCCTCTGTTAAGACATAATACTTGTATGTTTCTTGGCATACGTCTGTTGAAGGCTTGGCTTCCTCTAAGCTATGAATTGTTCGTGTTACTTTTTTAAAACGGTTGCTCACCCTCCCTTGTTTGGGCAAGTTCTGTACAAAGTTTTAATGGCCCTCTTTGGAAATACATACTCGTTCATCAAAGGGTGACATGGAAGAGATGGTCAGGAATTATTTTGATTGCCATAGAAATGATGAGTATACGTTGCAACTACAATGTTTTGTGTAAACATAAGGAGAAATTTCCTGTTGAGATGATCTATACAAACAGTGGAACAGTCTACCTACAGAGATGGTGGCTTCTCCATCTTGTGAAGTTTTTTTTTTTTTTAAGAAAAAGCTGGAGAGCCACTTCTTAAAGATAGTTTTATTGCTTTTTTCTGTTAGTCTTTTCTGACTCCATCCTTCTGATCCTATGGATGTACCAAGAATTCTTATTATTTTCATAATCATCTTGTGAGAATTGGGTTGAGAAAGCCCATTAACCACATCCTTGGCACATACATGAACTTGGGTTCATGTTAGGCTAATGGGTTTGCAGATACTCTACCTAAGAGATTGGAGAGT